CCCTCACTTTGAAGATAGGTCTATGCATCCTGGAGGGTAAAATTGATATATGTAAACAAAGGGGCAATGACAAAAAACAAGAAATTCTGTTAATTAAATCTCTCGCTCTCTCGTAGTAACAAGTTCCATGGATTAACTCAACTTTTTCTGTATTAAAGTATATTCATTACAAGTCTCCAACTTTTCCTTAAGCAAGATGGTTACTAGACCTTCAGCCTAACACTTGAAAATGTTCCACCCTTAGATTAATGTAACATATTTTTATCACATTGGTGTCTGACAGAATCATCAGTCTACCGTTACACAGACTACAAAAGTAAAGTACATGTGCTATGGGGTCTTCTGCTGTTTGAACCCCACCTGCTGGCTGATTTATGAAGAAACAGAAGCAACTATCTACAAGGCCTCCATTAACCTTTTAAACTACGAGGGAGAAGAGCATCAGTTACAAGTGCCTGAGGGTGTAAGTATTCTATTTAAAATCCTGCTAAATGAACTGGACAAAGAAGCTAGAGGACTATTAATTCTATATTCTATTAGAAGTGAAAAAAGAATATAGATACTAACTTCATTTCATGTATTTTTATCCATTACTCATTCCCAGTTGCCTCTTTCATCTCCAGTTATATTTTAGGCAATTCTCAATACCGTTTACCTTATTTCAAATATTTAGACCCAGCCAGCAAGTGTAAATGCCCTGACAGTTTACATATTTATCTGTGTAAGGATGTACTAATCACTGCTATCCCCTTCTTGTTCTTCAGTGCAGGAAACACAGTAATTTATGTCATTTCTTAAGATCAGATAACTATTTGCCATTTTTCTAACACTCAGCCTGTTGGACATAGGATATTTCGAGGTCCTCCTGTCATAGACACGCTTATGACTTCAGGAAGGGGGACTCTGAGAGCTGTTCCCTCCCTCTGCCTCCTTGAAGCCACTACAGAAAGAACTGCAGTGACTGTTTTAGAAGTCACAAAAAAGCAACCTTGGGTGACTTCAGGGAGGGCAAAAAGGAAATGGTGTGGGGGACAGGAGAGGCTGAGATCTGAAGTATCCCCTGGCCTTTCCATCAAGTCTCTGCTCAGCACCAGTACAGAAACCAAAAGGTCTCAGGAGTGCATCTAGCTGAGTTTAATATGCACGCACACACACACACAGCAGAGGAAGAAGAGTACAGGACACAAGAAGCTTGCATACTTATCTCTACTGTGATGTAATCGCCTAGGACTGCACTCTTAAATGGCAATTTTCTACCGGTACAGAAGAAACATAGGAACAGACAGGTCTCAATTCCAATGTCATGTTTTCTTCAGCAAATACTTTCTATAAATCCCTCCATCACAGAGGGGAGGACTTGATACCAGCTTCCCTCAAAATGCAGTAATCATACCATTCCTGAAAAAACCTAACATAGAAGCAGAAGTGGAGACAACTATAGGCTATCTGGACGGACTCTTGGACAAATCTGATTTTCCACATCAATCTAGCTTTAGGCTCAAATTTGGGGACAGAGATTTCCTTGGTTGCCCAAAGGGATGACCTTTGTCAGAAGAAAGAGACAAGGGGTGCAGCCTTTGATACCCATAGCCATGGGATTCTTGCAGAGCAGATGTCTGAGTTAGGAGTTAGGGTGACTATTTTATGGCACTTCCACTCCTATTTGGGTGGTCACTTCCAGAAGATGGTGCTCTGTCCCATGGATAATATGCCATGTGGTTTCACAGGGCCCAGTTTTCTCCCCATATACTATTTAACATCTTTATGAAGCCACTGGGCAAGTTTATCCAGGGACACAGATTAAGATGCTATTCCTGTGTCCATGATACCCAGCTCTACCTCTCCTTTTCAGCTTGAGGATAGTAATAGACTGAAAAAGGGCTAACAAACCAAACCCTCACACACACCACCTGTGGTCTTATCTTGACAGATGCAGGGACAAGGTCTGCTTCTCCCAAAAGTAAGGATTCCAAGCTGGATAACTCAATAGCTGAATCTGAGCTGGAGGAAGGACGTGTGTGAAATGTTTAGGTCAAATGCCAAGGCCAGCAAGCTCCAAAACAGGCAAGTAACTGGCGAGAATCAGACAACTTCTGGTTTGGGGACAAACACTGTGGAACAGGGAGGATCAGTGGGGAGTGGTGTGACTTGATCAGTCCTGCGACCATTGCCAGGTCAAGAGAGCTGACCAACCAAGTAACAACCAGTGTTCCTGCCATCTGGCCCAGAAGTAGTGCAAACCTTCTTAAGAGAAGAGCTAACTCCATTTAATGGGGAAGCAAGGAAGGGGATTCACTTTGGAATCAACTACTAGCAAGGGCAGAATTCAATCCACAATTTAGCAGGCTCTTTTACTTGTTGGAAGACTCTTGCTAATAAAATTCACATTACCCTCTCAATATTTCAAAACCAGTCCCGGCTGGCTAACATGAACACAATAAAAGACAGTAGTCAGAAGCCTGACTGCTGCGAATAGAAAAGGAAAGAGGTTGCAGGGCAGGGAAGAGAGACCAACTCACAACAACTGAGATACCAAGCTGACAGTTACTTATGCTGTAGAAATCTCATGACTCAATTACTACAATGTGCTGTATGTACAAACTTTGAAAACAGTTCAGCTATGTCAGTTCAAAACAGAACCACTAGCTTGCTAAATGGAAGTGACCAATACAAGCATGTAATACCAAATGCTTTGTTAGCTGCAATAGCTTCCAAACCATTTCCAAATCAAATTTGAAGTGTTGGTGTTGATCATTAAATGGCTTGGGACAAGAATATTTAAAGTGGTATCTTTAAAGCTAAGTACCTGCTTGTACCCTTAGGTCAACCTTGCAAGCCCTCCTATAAGTGTCCAAAGGAAGTAGATAGGAAGCTAAGAGAGAAAAGGCACTTCACTTATGGAATGACTTCTCCCACAGGTTAGAATGACTCTTATACTTTTTGGTACCAGGCAAAGATACTTTATTTTCTCATGTGTATTTTGAAAACCTAGTTCTAGATTATTCTTACTATTATATCAATTCCTATATGCTTTTTATACTGGTATTGTTTTGTCTTGTATTCTTTTATATTTTTATCAGTTTAGTCTTTTACCTGTTTGTAATCCAAAAATATTGGCATAAACAAATAAGGCATGACAATTAGAATAACAATATACAGCACAACACAGCTCATGATAATCCAGCAATAATAAGCAACTCTGCAAATTATTTTGGCCACACAAACACAAGAAACAGAATGTGGCATGGCAATATTTAGGTTTATAGTAGTACAGGCTGGGCAAAGGCCAAAATCCCAGGGTGTTTTAAATGCTGCAGTCTGTCTTGAAAATAGCCTGCATTCCCGCCTTGCTAAGCACCATTTTTAATTAAGCCATCCAGCTGTGCACATACCCAGCAAGTGAATCAGTGAACACTAACAACTACACATTTCCTATTACAAAGAGTCAAAATTATATGTTCCACAGTCTAACTCTGTAAATGGGAAGGAGTGGAAATATGGTTCAGATAAGTTTTGGTTGGAGAGATACCAGCCATATTTGCATAGAACAGTATGCCAGCATTCTGGCAAATCCTGGCTTACAGTGAACATACTGTGGACTGTTTCTTGCTTAGTCTTTCCAATTATTTGGTTTATTTATATGCTAGTGTTGTTGGCTAAACTAATCAGAAATAGAAAACTTAGCCCAGAACCCTGTTTTGTGGCTCTCAAACAAAATAGGATGCATAAATCAGGAAAAAGCCCTGTGGTTTGAGTCTGGCTTGTAAAGGTGCCATGCAGCTAGAATCTGGAACCAGATGTCACACTAACTGCCATTTTCACAGTAAGACAGGATGGGCCACTTGACAGGGCAGGAGTTTTTGCATGAGTCCTGGGCCCTGTCCTGAGTAGAATCTTTTGAAACAGCAGAACGCTTATGCAACTAAAACAGCAAGACACAACTATCCATGAGCTACTGCATACGCTGCCTGTTTTTCCTTTGTGCAATCAAGGCAATACCCAAACAACTGCCATTCTCCCAGAGAAAGAGAGAGTGGAAAGGATGGAGATATTATTGGAACTCACCTGCATGACTAGTCTCAGTCATCTCCCCTTCCAGCTCTGATCTTATGTCCATTATACATGGCTGGCAAAGGCTAGATTAGCACATGGAAAAGCACACGGACCCTGCTTTCTTCTCCTTCCTTCTGCCTGCTCTTGCTTTTGACATTATCTCTTCTCTCACCCTATTATTCAACACAAGCACACTTTGTCTAGAAGACAGCAGGCAGGACACCATGGAAGATCACTCTTCTAGATTTTGTAACTGGGTTCTGATGGGTTTCCTAGAGTTGATATTACATTAAAACCAACCACCTAGGCTGGTTTTGAGATACCAAAAAAAAGTACTGCAGAGGCAGCTAAGGAATATATCAAATAAATAAAACTTTTAAATCCTTCCATACAAAGTCAGTTGCAATCACAATAAATTAATGATCCCAGTGGATTGCATCCATTTGTGTTCATTCACCAATGGAAAACACATCTATCCGTGGAACAGGGTCCCTCCTCCGCTTCAGTCTTCTGCCCTCCAAAGCAGAATTGGAGGCATGCTGGGGGTTTCTATTGTGCAAACAGAAGTCCATTCACTCAATACTGCACTGCACCCTACTTATCTATCCAACTGAGTTAGAACAATCTTTTGAATATGCTCCTGTATGAATGTTCTGTTTCTGACTATACTCTTACACTGTTATTTACTGGAAAAGGTTTTATAAATTTCCAATTATTCTATTTCAATTAGTTTGAAACAAGTCAAAGTGTTCTTGAAAACACTATTTCCTTTAAAGCCCAAATATCCCATTAATGCTTTTACATTACCCATACCTTGAAATGAATGCCTTGGAGCATCCACTAATGGCAACATTTTTCATCTCAAGTAAGAACTTTCTTAGTCATGCATAGCCAAACCTAAATCTTTAGTTTTCCCCAGAGGTGAACTATTTATTATATAGACTAACCTGAGCCTCCTTCTGCCAGGTACATGTCTCTTGCATAAATGACAGAATCCAGCATTGACTCAAAGAGAAGGAAATAGCCCTGTAAATCAAGAGAGCGAAAATACTATATTAAAGGAGGCAACAGTCATAACCATATATTTTTATCATTCTGCATCAGAATACTTTTTAATTTAAGTTTTGCTTTTACAAGCAGCAAATATTTGGAGCATGGCCCAGGAGCTCTTCTATTCTTTACCGTATTGCTGTTCCCTACAATAATACAGCAATTACTTCTGCAAGAACTTTATAGGTGCAGTCTCAGTTCTTGGTGGAGTAGATCAGAAATAACATGTTTCAAAAGATTCCTTATAATGGACTGTGCATTCCATAGAGTTGTGTTTGATGTCAATCCTAATAAGAGCAGACCCACTGAAATAAATGGGACTTATGTTGGACTGTACAAAATAGAAAAAAATAACGGGGTCCAAATTGAAATGTTCTCACTGCTTCGTAATTTGACAGAGTAGGACACTGTGCATGTGTGCAAGGCCTTCATGCTTTCAGACTTACCACCTGTAGGACAGAGCCCTTGGCTAACAGTAATTAGGAGTTTAGGTGGCTGAAGGAAAGCAAGTGGCAGCTAGCAAACAACTTCATAGTCAAAGGGAGAATTAAGCAAGTTCTCAGCCAGAGAGCCACCACAGCAGCTGAAGCACCTTGAGCTCACAGACCCCTCACAGACCCCCCTGGCAGAGAAAGGGGTCATTTATATATAGTTTCCTGAGCAAAGTGATATCTTGCCTGGATTCTTACACTTTTTCTTGTTTTCAATCCTTGGACTTCTTTCCCTTCACAAACTAACATGGCTTAGTGCTCCTTTTTACATCTATTAATCTTGGGACAGTGAAATGTCTAGTGAAATACTAACCAATTTTAAAAAATTGGTTAAGACACTATTTCACATTTGTTCATATATATGAACACATGCATCAAATGTCCAGAACAAGCCCACCTTGGGAACAAGAAACATGTAGTGGGCAATTTTTAGCAGGAACTGTGTCAGACCCAGACCTGCATCAGGCATACATTCCTGGAACCAATTTTTCTTCAGAGTAAATGTGGCCAGAGTAAGCATGCTAATCAAACATAGTTCTAAATCTGTTGCTTTTTTATTTTTATTAAAGCAGAAAGTTACCCATGCACATTAGACAGGTAAAAGCTGTGCAAGCAAAAAACAATTCCACTTGTGCAAATCAAGGCACCTGATTTTTGCTGATTCCCCATTCCCAACACGATGGCTACTGAAAAGCTGTATGGTACATGGTGTGGAAAGCTACAGCAATTGTTGAGTGTTCAGCCTTACATGAGTGGAAGCATTTTTGCTAGCACAAAGCCACCACTGCAAAAAAAAAAAAATTGTTTTGATGGTAATGTTGTCAGCTGTCTGGAAGGTTCTTGTGTACAAAAAGACAAGCCACAGATAAAATAATGCTGATTTCAATAAACATCTCTATCCTCCTGCTGGCATTTTTCACTTTGGTTCTGAAGGTTTTCTTCTCTTACATGCAATCACACAACCCTGTAAGTTACTAAGGAACTGTCCCTCACATTGAAACAAATCATTTATTACTAATCTCTGAATGCTTTGCTCTATGAGTGGTGCTCATCTCTGATGTAATTTAGAATGTAATTTCACAGGCTACTGCCTCACCTGTAGGGGTACCATCTGGAAAGAGAATTATATGTGACACTTTCTCCTATGATGCACTGGGAATTTGCTGTTTCAGTTCTGACAAGGTTTGGATTCTTTCTTTGTTTCTATCTTTCTCACAAAAAACACATTGAATTAGCAGTTCAAAATTAATTACAGCATTCTGTACTGCACAGATTTGTGAACAGAGGAGTAATGATTTGGCAGCTAAGATATACAAATGACATGCTTACTATTAGATGGACTAAAAAAGAAAGTGTTCTAACAGGATATTGCAAAAGAAAATGTTTGGTTTTTAGTTATTTCGGTTACAGTTAAGAATAATTTTTAAAACCTAAGTGCTGTAGCTAAGAGGCCTACTCCTGCAGCTAAGTGACAGAAATTGTTCTATATATCAAGATTTGAGAAAGTGAAGTTGAAATCAGATTATCTCAGCTGCTGGACAAAACATCCGAATTCATACTTTATAGTAGGGATGCAGGTGGCGCAGTGGTTTAAACTGCTGTGCTGCTAGGCTGGTTGATCGAAAGGTCGCCGGTTTGACCTTTATACTTTATAGTGCTTACCTTCAAATAAATCCTCACACACCAAAGATAAAACCGAAGCAATTCCACACAGCACCATTTTCAAGAAACTGAATCTCTTAATTAAGCCAGTTACTTCCTTTATCAACATAAGCAGAAATATATTCAAGATTATCCTTTCACATGACTAAGGTACACATCTTTTTAGTGTGTGAGGAAGAAGTTTTACAACTCACCAGCTACCTGTGCAGGCAGGGGAATGCTGGAAGTAATGGGCCTTTTTCACTCTCTAACATACATACGATTGCATCCTATCCTAGAAATCTGCTTTCAAAGTACTGGCAATTCATTTCAAATCAATCTGAATTATTTTAAAACTCTGCATTAAACTATTGTACTAATTGTTTTACCATTGCATTTTATATTATAGTATACATTTTGATTGTGCACTGCCTTGAAATCCAAACAGGGTGAAGAGCTGTCTGGAAACATGTTAGACAAGTAAATAAAATCAGTTTGAATTCCATTCCCACACTCCTCCTGCTTGTTGGCCTTCAAGTGATGCTACACTGATAGCAGAAGCAACACGAGGCAAACCTCCCTCTATGCAACTCTTCAAGGACAGCAACTTTGTCAGTCAAGATCTGGCATCCCTATGGCCACCTGACCTGTAATTCCATCTATCTAAGCCTTCCTTTTCTGTCTATTTCCAACAGGATTCTATTGGTCATCCTTCCCAGCACTTCTGTATTGCCCCCACCCGCATGGGATACAGATTCTCGTGGAGCATGATGCACTTGCTTCAGTACCCTCACCATCTCTGTGTCCTGTCTTATCAGAAGGACTTTCTGTAAAACTCCCTTAGATTCCTGCACCATGATACATCAGAAGCCTAGCATCAGCACATGCGACTGGTGTGCAAATGCTGAGGTTGTTGATAGGCGGATCCCTTCATTTAAAATCTATTTTAGAGACAGGTTGTGAAAAGAGAAATGCTGGGAAAGATACCAGCAGTTAGGCACTATTATCAGCATATATGATGCATGACCCAGAGGCATTCTACAGCAGCATTCTGTTGCTACAGTTGCCTTAACTCAGAGCTTCTTCAGTACCAGGCTGAGGACGTTCAGAGAGGCTGGAGTTGCACTGCCATGAATTGCATGAACTGAAAAGTTCACTTTGTGGGTAATCAGGCTGGTCTGGAGAAAACCTACCCAGAGCTTCCCTCATACCTAGTGCTGGCACTATTCCATTGCAAAATCTTAAGAAAGGTTAAAAAGAATGTACTAGAATGTACTAGAAGACCAGTATCAACACAGACAAATTTCCTTTTAACAACTTTGGAAACAGGACTAGATTACAAAATGTTTAGAAATACTACCGAATAATTTTTGTGTGCACACTACGTATAAACATTTGGAACAACTGCAAGATAATGATAGTTTAGAAGAAGCAGACAATTTTGCCCAGGACTCTGAGGCATTCTGTTTGTTCTGCTACCTGCATTCATTTCTTCTTGCAGGGACATTTAAAGAATATAGACACAGAGAAAAATGTATAAAACCGTCTTCTCCCAAGGGTAGGAACTCGCCAAATTATCTCCTCTATAGATAAATGAATATTCTAGAAAACTAGAACAAGCATGTTACACAGCCGTTCTCATTTCACAGTTAACTACTGGATGTAGAATTACTCTAATTACTGTAAAACATCATTGCCTCTTAAAATTCCATACCTCAAGGGAACAAAAGCACAATTCTGCCTGCATACAAAGCAGTCTTGTTCACAAAGCCTGCTCACCTAGATATATAGTACCCCTCCCAAACATAATAACTAAGGTACATTTCTCCGCTTCCAGCTAGCACGCTAGCAGACACATGCATGTATACACACACCTGCACAACCAGCTAAAATCTCCCAAAATCCATTCTATGGATGGTATATATTATATTTAAAGGTAACACTACAGACTTTGAAACGCTTTCTACTATATCATAATTAGCACGTCATTTCATGTGTGCCTTCCCACTACAGAATGCTAATACAACTACTGTAGCAAAATGAATCACTGCTGAATAATTTCTAAGAATCTATACTTCCATATTTGAAATGATAGTGTGTACTCCACATTTTTAAAATTTGTACGCATTACTGTCAATTTTCTAATATTTGAGCTCAGCAGAGCAATCTTACATGTTTCTACTCAGAAACACATGCTACTGAGTTTAACAAGTTTATTGTTGTAAGCCGCCCCGAGGCTTCGGCGAATGGGGCAGCATAAAAACGGTTTAATAAATAAATAAATAAATAAATAAATAAGAGTTCCTCCAAAGTACATGTGTATAGCATTTCACACTGAGATGTTCACATGATGTACATTCTCAGAAGAGGCATCAGCAACAACTTAACCTTCATGAACAAAACTAAAAAGAATAACAAAAATAGTTGCAGACATTTTACTACCCTAAGCCACATTCAATTGTATTTTGGGGTAGTATTTTCTCAAAACAAAGTCATGTTTGGAGTTACAAAAAGTGCAGCTAGTTCTGCTAACTTGTATCATGCATTAAAAAAAACTTTAATACCCTCCACTCACTGGAGCAAAAAGGCACCCCAACAGCAAAAGCCAACAGATTTCTTGGGATTTGGGGCTAGCAGGGAGGGGATCCCAGGCCAATTTTCTGAAAGCAAACAGATGGACACTTAAATTTGTTTTTGCTGGAAAATTTTATACCAACACTTCAACCAAGGATTCAGTTGGGTTTCAGGTAGTAATAGGGGTTTTCCAGGACAGTAGAAATGCAAAACTGTCCAACATTCTAAATTACATTACCTGATTTACAAGTTTAAGTTAACTTAAACTTACATGTTAACTATATGTGCAGTATATACTGCAAGTTTTCCCAATAGTTACAAAATTAAATTAACCACATTATATAGAAAAGAAAAATCTAATAAAAGCTAGTTAAGCATTCTAGTTCACTGAAGGATAGATGTGAGTCAGTGCAAATTTCATCAAATTTACTATGATAAGGTTGCCAGAACAAGAAAGTTACACAGAACATTACAAGGCAATCTGTCATCCTGGCCACAGTACATCATTCCAAGTAAAACCACTGCCGTTAACACACACACACACACACACACACACACACACACACACACATATATATATATATATATATATATATATATATATATGCTGGTGTTTTTCCAAGAGCTAATAAAGAAGAGTTAACCTGCTCAAGTGACCAGCTGGATGAACCAGGACTGGTCATAGGTCACACCACTGGTAAAGAGGAGCTCCACTAGCAAAGTCAGACCATCTGCTCCAAAGGCCCCATTTTTGCCTGTGGAAAGGTACATCCAGTGGTAAGCCCAAGAAGACAGGTTTGTATCTGCTGGATCTGAAGTCCCTCCATTTACTTACAGGGTCGGAATCAAACTTCACAGCTATGCCAGCCTAAAATTTACATAGCTAATTCCCCCACCCCCAACTATTGCTTTCAGTGGGTGGACATTTGAGAAAATCGGGGGGTGGGTTACAAAGCCACTCCTCACAAATGTCTCCACCTGGCCAGCATAAGCCTGCAGGGCTTTGAAAAGGGAGACTTTGTTCCAATCTGCTCCTATTAGGATTTCTACTCCTGCCAAATCTGCTTGAAACACTGCCAGAATCTCAACCAGATTGCCAGTACCATATGGCAGTTCGTACTTCCATACCAACCTGACAGTACTTTCCAAATTTCCATGTTTCAAACAAATGGTAATACCTGAAAACTAAATACTCTTTAGAAGGCCAGATACTGAAGATGAAAGTCAAATACTATGGCCACCTAATGAGAAGGAAGGACTCACGGGAGAAGAGCCTAATGCTGGGAAGAATTGACAGCAAAAGAAGAAGGGGGCGGCAGAGGATGAGGTGGCTAGATAGAGTCACTGAAGTAGTCGGTGTGAGCTTAAGTGGACTCCAGGGGATGGTGGAGGACAGGAAGGCCTGGAGGAATGTTGTCCATGGGGTCGTAATGGGTTGGACGTGACTTCATGACTAGCAACAACAAAATAACCATTAAGTATTAACAGTACCCTCTTTTTTGATATTACAGTGTATTTCTGCTTGGCCCCACATGATCTTATATTTCGGATCTGACATCTTTATTATACAGCTTTACAGGATCAGGTACGTAGGATAATTTCTACAGGTAAAAGATTAATACACATGCAGGGATAATTCTCTTGCATGTGCATGCATAATACCAAAACAATTCTAACTGTCTGACCTACTATTTTGTCTACAACTGGAACATGCAATGCCAAACTTCACTTGATCAAGTACTTCCAATATAGTCTCATGCAACTGTATTAATAAAAAGCACTTACCATCCACTCAGATATGATAATATCAACTTTTTCAACAGGCAGATCAACTTCTTCAATTCTTCCTTTGATCAAAGAAATAGTATCTTTGAATCCATTTAGTCTGCAAAACACAATGACAAAAAGTGTGGTATGAATTTTCTAGTTCACTTTTACATCCATAACAGCAGACTCCTATTTTAAGTATTGATTTATTGAAACAATCACCCCCAATCTCTTCTGGAGTACAGCAAACTGCATTAAGCACCAAAGATAACAAAATATTCAGAAAACATTATTCAGTATTCTGAACCTTATGTACTCTCACAGGAATTATTTGCATTATTTTCAGTGGTGGTGGTGGGGGGAATCAGCCATCAAAACTTACCTATATGTTTCATATTGTATACATTTCAGGTGCTTTAAGCTGTGAGAACACATGTGAGAACACCTTGACCTTTTATGCAAGCAAATACCAGTAATGTGATGGGACATGGAAGTAGCATGTTCCCTTTCTAGAAATTTACAGCCATATGCTTTACTCCTATCTTTGAAACCCTCAGAGTTTGAGTGTGTTAGAACAGCCTTAACAGTGTACCCCATGTGTGTTCAGATGTTAAGCCCTACACATTTCAGAAAAGACTTATATAGCAATCCTAACCCCTATGATCGCCAAACAGGAGGGTTTTAAGATGGAGTAGAGGTCTACCTGCTTGCAGGAAAGTGGGGGAAGCTCCACTTATGCACACTGTAAACTCAGCAGGCATAAATCCAATACTGAGACATTGTTCCCTATACGAGAGATATGGAAGCTTCTATATATCCAAGAAATATGAAACACCCAAAGGATATTCAGATTGGCTCCTCAGTTACACCAGCCTGGAAGTAATCCCCCTGCTCATTGTTTCAAGGGGAGAGATTTTTTAAAAGATCTTCAACAATGACAAACCTTGCAAAGCCCTTACCTTACCCATACATGCACAGAAATACATGTACTTCCTGCCATGGCAGGGTTTTGGGCATGCTGGATTATTTGCTAATTCATTCCACCTCCACCCCCCAAACTCACCTATGATTCCTCTATTACTTCAAACCAAGCATGTTTAGGATTTATTTATTTATTTATTTAAAACATTTCTATGCCGCCCCCACTGCAACAAAGCCTTGGGGCGGCTCACAAAGAATACATAAATACATACATATATAGTGATAATACAACTATTAAAAAAAATTGTTTAAAACCCCCCGGTGCATTCTCGGCTAAAAATTTAAAATCCTAATTAATTCAATAATTTAACAATTAAAATAAGTTTTAAATAAAAAGGTCTTAGCCTGGCGCCGAAAAACAAATAATGACGGTGCCAGGCAGACCTCTTCTAGAGACAGCTCAGGGTCGAGGAGCACTCCTAAGCTGTGAACCCTGTCCCTCAGAGGGAGTGCAACCCCATTTAGGACAAGGCCCAAGTCCCCCATCCCGAGGTCCGAGCCACCCACCAACAGGACCTCCGTCTTGTCTGGATTGAGCTTCAGTTTATTGGCCCTCATCCAGCTCATTACCTCGGCCAGGCACTGCCTCAGCACAGCCACTGCCTCACCTGGATTGGTGGAAGACGAGAGGTAGAGCTGGGTATCATCAGCATACTGATGATTCCGCAGCCCACACCTCCTGGTGACCTCTCCCAGCTGTTTCATGTAGACGTTAAATAGCAAAGTGGACAAAATGGACCCCTGCGGAACTCCATGGCATAACTGCCATGGCACAGAGCCATAGTCCCCCAGCACCACCTTCTGAAATCGGCCATTGAGATAGGAGCAGAACCACCACCACGCAGTGCCTCCAACTACCAATCCCACTAGCCTATTCAGAAGGATACCATGGGTTGATGGTATCGAAAGCTGCTGAGAGGTCCAGGAGAACTAACAGGGATGCACTCCCCCGTCTCCCTCCCTGCACAGGTCATCGTACAGGGCGACCAAGGCAGATTCAGTGCCATACCCAGGACTGACGCTGGACTGATATGAATCCAGACAATCAGTTTCATCCAAGAGTGCTTAGAGTTGTCCCGCCACCACCCGCTCAAGCACCTTGCCCAGGAACGGGATGTTGGCCACTGGTCTATAATTGGCAGCCACCTCTGGATCCAGGGATTCCTTCTTTAGGACTGGCCGAACTACCACCTCCTTTAAAGGGGCAGGTACCTGGCCATCTCTTAAAGAGGCGTTGACCACCTCCAGGATCCAGGTCACAATCCCGTCCTTGGTTTTCTTAAGTAGGACGTACTTGTCCAAGCACCTTGTCCACATCATCAGGCTGCAACAACTGAAATTCATCCATTAATTGTGGACTCAACGGCGTCAATGGCGTCTCCCCAGTAGAATCTGATCCAATAGCAGAGTCAAGCTCGTGGCGAATCTGAGCGATTTTCTCCCTGAAATGCTTGGCAAAGTCGTCACAGCGGGCCTTCGAGGGTGGCACAAGGTCTTTCTTTGGGCCTGGATGTATCAGCCCCTGCACCACCCGAAAAAGCTCCACCGGACGGCATTGTGAGGAGGCAATGGAAATGGAGAAGAATTTCTTCTTCACTATCATCACCACCACAGCATAGGTCCGATAATGGCTCTTAAGTGTGTTCGGTCAGAATCACCCCATGATCTCCTCCACCTACGCTCTAGACGTCTCCCAACCTGTTTCATCCCCTGTAATTCAGGTGTATACCAAGGAGATGAACGGGCTCTGCCAGGTAGGAGAGGACGCTTGGGAGCGATCGTGTCAATAGCCCTGGTCATCTCCTCATTCCACAGTTCAACCAGGGCATCGACAGGATCACCAGCCTTGTCAACCGGAAAATCCCCCAGAGGTTTCAGTAATCCATCAGGATCCATCCAGCTCCGGGGGTGGACCAATACAATCAGGTCCGCACCCTTACAGAGGGAAAGGCTGCTCTCGAGCTCAAACCTTATGAGGAAGTGATCTGATCATGACAAGGGCGTCAAACTTAAATTCCTCACCCTCAGATCACCCTCTTCCTTCCCCGTTGAGAAAGCCAGGTCCAGAGTGTGTCCACGTTCATGGGTCGGGCCAATGATGCGTTGAGACAGCCCCATGGCCGCCATGGAAGCCATGAAGTCCTGAGCCGCCCCGGTTAGAACCATCTCGGTATGGAGATTGAAGTCCCCTAGGACCAACATCCTGGGAGTCTTCAGTACCAGGTCCGAGACGATCTCCGTCAGCTCAGGCAGGAAGTCTGTTGGGCAGAAGGGTGCACGGTACACCAACAGAATCCCCAATCTGTCTCGGTCGCCCAACACCAAGTGGAGGCACTCCAGCCCCAGCCTCGAGAGGACAGGAAGCCCTATAAGGGAAATAGAAGCTCGATAAACCAGAGCGACCCCCCCTCCCCTCCCCTCCAGGCGTGGTCGGTGCTGGACCAGGTACCCGGGCGGGCACAATTGTGAGAGGGAAACATCCCCCACCCTCACCCGCCCAGGTCTCTGTGATGCAAGCCTGGTCGGCCCTCTCACTCATCCACGATTTGATCATGGATGAGTGTTGCCTTATTTTGGACCAACCTGGCATTAAGCAGCAGCACCAACAGGCCCGGAGGCCAGTTGACAAGTCTACCTGGAACCCGCCGGCTGGGGGAATAACCAGAAAGAGGGACAGGTGTAACCATCTGTCCCTCCTTCTTCTATGCTGACCCGTTAGACCCCCAACGCCATAATGGCCATTACCCATCACCACCCCGATGGCAGCGACCCCACACTCCCCAGGCAACATCATAATAAAGCACAAGATGCACCAATTAAAAACCATCTAAAACCAGCAATTAAAACCATTAAAACATCCTACCGTCCTCCACCGTAGTCCACCACTAGCCCACAAATAAAACCAAAACACGGCCAAAGCCCCTGGCCAGCCCAGCCCCCCGCTCAGCCCCCAAATGACGACCGCCCTTAGGCCATCGCCCTTCGGCCGCTGGCCCAAGGCCGCCGGCCCTGGTGCTTTGTGGCCCGCAGGGCCCCTCCCCGTGCCCCACCCCTTCCCAGCACGTCTCTTACACGCGCCAGGGGAAGCAGGCCGGAGCAGGGTCCTGGGCTGGTGGTCCTGGCCTCTGTGGCAGGGCAGTGGCAGCAGCAGGCAGCAGTGGGCGACGGAGCAGTGGCGGGGTCCAGGCGGTGCAGGGTCCGGGCGGCGCAGATGGAGGTGGGCCCGTCTGGCGCGCTGGGCCCCTCCCTGTGCCACACCCCTTCCCAGCGCGTCTCTCACACGCGCCGGGGCACACGGCTGACACAGGATAACAGCCCTGTGTCTCACATGAGGCTTTGTTTGTTGTTGTTTGTTGCAAAGTCGCATCCGATCCATCGTGGCCCCATGGACAACATTCCTCCAGGCATTCCTGTCCTCCACCATCCCCCGGAGTCCACTTAAGCTCACACCAACTGCTTCAGTGACTCCATCTAGTTACCTCATTCTCTGTTGTCCCCTTCTTCTTTTGCTGTCAATTGTGCCCAGCATTAGCGACTTCTCCTCCAGTGAGTCCTTCCTTCTCATTAGGTGGCCAAAGTATTTGAGTTTCATCTTCAGAATCTAGCCTTCTAAAGAGCACTCAGGGTTGATATCCTCTAACACTGACTGGTTTGATCTCCTTGCAGTCCAAGGAACTCAAAGGAGTCTTTTCCAGCACCACAATTCAAAGGCATTGATTCTTGGACGCTCAGCCTTCCTTATGGTCCAACTTTCACAGCTTTACATTGCAACTGGGAAAACCATAGCCTTGACTATACGCACTTTTGTCAGTAGGGTGATGTCTCTGCTTTTTAGTATGCTGTCTAGATTTGCCATAGCTTTCCTCCCAAGGAGCAAGCATCTTTTAATTTCTTGACTGTAGTCACCGTCTGCAGTGATCTTGAAGCCCAGGAAAATAAAATGTCACTATCTCCATTTCTTCCCCATCTATTTGCCAGGAAGTGAGAGAACCAGATCTTAGTTTTCTTAATGTTGAGTTTCAAGCCAACTTTTACACTCTCCTCTTTCACCTGCATCAAGAAGCTCTTTAGTTCCTCTTCACTTTCTGCCATTAGAGTGGTATCATCTGAATATCTGAGGTTGTTGATATTTCTCTG